AAATTCTCAAGGTCTGAAGTTGGCTCTTTCATCAATATGCCGTATTGCCTTTGGGGAAAACAGGGAGGATATAACGATAAAAAAAAAAAAAAAAAAAAAGTAAAAATTGGTCTCTGTCCTTTCCTCTAGTCAGGAACAGTGGACTGATTAAATGGTCAATATTCTAGAGGAAATGTTATTTTACAATAACAGCTGCTACAAATCAAGGACATGTACTTTTCCTGCAAGAACATTCTCCTCCAATTATTTAACAACATCCTCCCCATAACCACATTAGGAGAGAAATACTGATTGTTGGCTATATAAAAATCAAACAAGTCACCTATGCGAAACACAGCCCATCAGTAACACATGTTCTGCACTCAGCACTGTGTCACTTATAAATTGCACTGAGAAGGAATGACTTGTCTTCAAAATCACTGATCCAAATCAAGACCACTTTATTTACATTTATTCTACACATGTAAAGAGTTGAGCTCTTGCAAAATAAAAGCATGTACAAGCTGTCCAACAGAAAAATTTTAGTTTTGTGTAATTCCTTGGAAAAAGGTCCTCTAATATAAGCTCCAGACTGTCCTTACTATCTCCCTCCCCTCTCATTTAATCCTCTGAAACACACACACACACAAAAAAAAAAAAAAAAAAAAAAAAAAATCAGAAAGCAAAAGTTTTGCTAGCTGATTAGAAGACCTTAAGACCTTAGAATCTAACTATCAGAGCACAGGGGATGAGGCAAATGCATGACAAAACAGGTAGAGACACTCTGATGAGAGGTCTTTAAGAGACCTCTTCAATTTAAACCAAGGGTTTTAACAAGGCAAAAAACCCCCACAAAAATGTGACCAAATACCTTGGAAATTAATTAACTCATTATGACCACAATAAAAAAACTAGTTTAGATTATCAGACATTTGCTTCATTGAGATGAACTGAGAATTAGAAAACCTCTAGTCTAACCTTCTGGATATTAGTCTTTTCTGCACCTTTGGCAGGCCAAAAAAGAAGTTATCCCTCTCCAACACCAGTTACTTTTATTTTACATAGCTCTTAACAGAATTACTCTTGTGTGTTGTTTTTTAATTGCCAAAAGAACTTCAAGGTGTCATGACCCACTGTTTTCCCAAGCAGATTGTTTTATTGTATTCAGTGAAAGAAAAGCAAAGGAAATTAGGTGTTTGTGATTTGATAAAACTTCTCATCTGAAGTTCCAAAATATTAAAATTTTTCAAAAAACTAGGAAAAGTAGGGCAGAAGCTGAATGAACTTCATCACACAACTAACTTTTCTTGAAAGAAAATCTAACAGAAAAAAATCAAATACCACCATCATCACTACATTTCATTACCAGGTTCTTTCCCTTGCATTCATTATTCGAGTCCTTTTTTCAACACTTACTGTCTTAGCAGCTGTCGTCCTTGTTTCCATATTAGCTGACTGTTCTGTTGTGGCTGAATCTCTGTCTCATTCCCTTCATCTGGAAAAGATTATTTAATTATGAATATTTTTTTCCTCGTCCTACATTTTAAAAAGCTGCCCATCCACTTGAAAAGACAAATGTGATTTGTCTTAAAATTATTAGGAATGGTTTAATAACAAAATAAAAGATTCAAAGCGCCAATCATCAATCAAGAGAGAAAAAATGCACATAGCACATAATTGTAGTACTACATAGACATAAAGACTGCCAGGTACACCCTACTGGACGAGAGCAAGTTCCACTAGTCATCAGCGCCTTCCCTTCTGTCTCACATCCAAAAGCCCCATCTTCGTCTTTTTTCTTTAAGGGCACATAATCACATAGACAATCTGAAGTCCCATTTTTGCATTAACCTTCCAATATAATTGCTGCTCATAATTTAAGTTTGAATACAGACATCTTTACCTGCTAACAATACCAAGCGCAACTACAACATATCTATTTACAGCTTACTGTCCAATCAATTCCCTTAATATTTGACCATTCAACATAAAACCAACAGATCTACTCACATCAACTTTAAGTTCATCCACGTTTGTATTAGGGAAAAAAAAAAAAATACAACAAGGGTGGTTTGTTTAATTTTTAACCTGAACAGCTGTTGAAAAATTTTCACCAAATTTTCCACTATCATAAATTTGTACCCAAACAATACTACCCCAGGAAAATCCACCAAAAAAAAAATTGCAGCTGATCTGGTGAGAAACCTGTCTGAATGCTGGCAACCAACAGCTACACATTTATTCCATATATAGCTTCATACTACATCACGGTGGGGCTTTTTCTCTTTTTCTCTCCTCCAGGAGATACATAAGCATATGCTTCCCAAGATAAAAGATCTTGGTTTATTATCTATGAAAGCCTCTACAAAACTTGAAACCCTTGTGGTCCAAACACTGAAGGATGAACAATCTGCTTCTGTAAACAAAAACTAAGAACCAGAAAAACCTGTGGTATAATCCTATGAGTAACTTGATATGTGATGTGGGAAAGCTACTGTCTTTATGGGGAGACCATTTACCTTTAAACAACTGAATTAACACCACACACAAAAGAACCACTACCCACCCAAAGAAGCTATCAAAGACTAATCAGAATTCATATGCAAGGAGTGCCATATGACTTTTATCCATCTCAAATCCACAAATCCATTTAATAGCAACCATAGCAAATAACCAATTGCATAATGATTTTCTGATGACAACTGAACACAGCTGGACCCAAAGCACAACTACCAAAGCTCAGTCTACAAGAATTAAAACATGACTGAGATAAATCTGCCTGTAAATTCCTTTTGAAAGCAAAACCCCTTCTTCCAAAGGCACTATTAAGTATATCTACAGGCAAGAATTCTCTTTTGCTCAGTGTCCTCAAAACTGATGACCGCTAAACGGGAACATTGATTTATAGATGAGAACGAAGAGACTTGCATTATGAACAAATAATAGCAGAAGATATCACAAGCAGTAAAAAAACCCCCTGAATCCTCAAGAGATCATAAAGAAAACAAACAACAAGGACCCAGTTTGAAGAACTAGTAGAAACACTTCCATGTTTTTTCCTGACTAGGCTGGAAAAACAGGGGCAGTGGGGGGAAAGACATGGACATACAATTAAGTATCTATGAAAGACAACTCCAAAGAAGCATGATAACAAAGCTTCTATTTTAAGTGTGTATCTTTAATCAGTCCAGATTTCATATAGAACAAAAGTGTACATTTCTGACAGCTACATGTATAGAATGCAGTAGGATAAATCAAGATAATGGAATTTTAACAAACTTAATTCCACAAATGTTCACTTTGCAGAAGTAATGTACTGGCTATGGCTCTGCTGGGCAAGCCAGGCCTTGCACTACATTGTTCAGCTGGAAACTGGAACATGCTATAGCTGCATCCTCAGAAATTACAAAAACCAAACATGTCTAGGATCTTGGTATGATCAGGACAAAGTTTTTCAGTGGTCCAGATACAGGTTGGGGTCTTCCACTTAGTAACACCAAATTAAACTACTTCTTCAGTTAAGGAAATAACCTTGATAATAATGTGAAATAAAATTTCTCAAAAATTCGCTATATTTTGGACAAGAAAAGCCTGATGTAAAGTTTCATCGGTTGGTGTGGGGTTGGATTTTTTTTGTTTGTTTGCTTGTTTGTTTTTAATGACCTTCTAAATCCAATAAGAATTAACCATGAGATTGAACCAGACCATCCCTTCCACATAGCAAGTGACAGAGCTCAGGTCTGCAGACTTTCTATATTGTTCCTTTATGTACAGGTGGTTCTAGTTTTGTTGCTGTATTAGGAGAAGTTGTATTAGGAGACTGAGGTACCAAAATCATCACCTATTACTTCTCCTTTCAAGGGCTTCACCTATAACCAGATCTCTGTAATCCTTTTTTCTCCTGAGGAAAGGATAGGGAGATAGAAAGGGGAATGAAAGGAAGTAATTTAAGTTCTTAATTCCTCAAGTTCAATGCTTACAAATATTTATGTGAACCAGGAGACGCAACCCCTAGAAAAACCAATCAATCAGCTTTCCATAGACCAAGGTGAAAAACTGTCCTCACAGCATAGCACTGAATTTAGTTGCACACATTTCCAATGATCATTGGGCTTTTGTAAATAAATTCCCCACTCTCAAACTTTCACTTATGTCTAATATGCATTTTCATTATTTTTCTCATGGAATACCACTGAGGCAATTGAACAAAAAAATTTGTACTGTATCTTTCGTGTCCTTTGCATTAACTTTTTATTCCAAAGAATTATTCAAAGATAAAAGGATTCTATAGCTATAAATCTAGTATCTCCCTGTTCCAAAACATCCATACGCATTACTAAGGAATAGAAAAAGTATTCTCTCCTGGAGCAGTTTGTTGGTTTGGTTTTTTTTAAATTTAAACTCATTTGATTTATTAATAAACTCTTTCAGAGTATTAGCACATATTTTTAATTTTACAAGAGTAAAATACAGTCTTTATTAATAATTTAATAATAATGTATTAATATTGTATCTCTATTCCCACTGCATCCATTAAGTGGCTTATTTTATCAACACTATCATTTCAGCATTTGCACAAACCACAGTTAAGCTTTTATGCCAGTAATGAACTAATTCTTAATGAATTCTTACCAGAATCATAGTTTGGTGGCTTCATATCTCCCTGATTCAATTCTGTGCCATATTTTAATTTGTGATACTTAGCCCTGAAAGAAAAGAAACTATTAGCACATTTAAAGGGTATCTCTATACACATAAATGTCACCTGTCTTCACTTGAAAAGCCTCTCCTTTCTTCTATTTTGCTTAATTATTTTTTCCAAGTTTGATACATAATTGCAAACTGAATACTGACAAAACCCAGGGATCAGCAGACTGCAGATTTTAGAAAAATGTTCTTGCTACAGAAAAGGTTCCTTCCCTGTGGACATGGGCTACCCTCTGCTTCCCTCCCCACCCGCCCTTTTTTTTTTTTTGCCATCACTATGAAACAATTCTACTACTCACATCCGTTCAGTGCCATCTACTCCGTATTTCATAGTCACCTCAAATAAGCAAATCTGATTTTTATTCCTTGAAATGCTATGCTTTCCAACAGCAGCAGGCCCTTGATTAGAACTATTCTAAATGAGGTTTAGCACTGACAGCAGCCCGTCTCCACCAGTTTCTCTCAAAGCTGCTACATCTGTCACTTGACCAAGTTCAAAAATGGAGATTTCTCTTCCAAAAATATTCAGCCTACAGAAGGCCTGTTGCAATAAACCCCACAAAGCGTGCTATACAATAAGAGTAGCTAGAGGAAAAAGGGAAATGCTTTTTAATTTGAAAAGCTTCCTTCTACAGAGTCAGGGTCTATAGACTTTTCAACACACAAAATAATGCCACAGTAGTACAGAATTACAAATGCACATGTAAGTTATTAAAGATTCATTAGAATAGTGCTATAACACAGCAACAGAGAAACTGAGGCAAAGAGAGCCCTGGCCAGTTTTGCCATCTGTTCCCCCTTCTCTTGCACTCGCTCTAACTTTTGTCTCTGTGATTGTTTTCTGCCAAACATTAGAATTTAGACAACTCAAAAGACCCTGATTCCCTATAAACTTTTGTAGGCCTTCATAACTGGGTAGAAAAGCGGCACTCATACTAGTTCCTACTCAGAATAAAAGGCAGGGAAGAATTCCGGCAATGCTGGTCACGCAGCCTTAGCTGGGACGACCAACTAGCACACACACACGCAGCTCCAATGCAAACATACAGAGCTAGGTGTAAGGTGGTAAGATACATGCTACAAAAGGCAAAAAGAAAAAAAAAAACTACCCTCACATACACCAACATGAAAATGGGCTTCATTAGCTCCACTCCTCAAATGGGAACTCTTCCACCTAAAATTTGTTTTTAAAAAAATTAATGGATATGACACTTGAAAATTGTATGAGGCAAGTCTCACTAAGCTCAAATGACTGTATCAAGAACAACTGTGGACAATGTTTTCAAGTTACCTCCACCTCTTCATTACTTCTCAAACATCTTCATTACATTACTGTTTTCTTTTGCTTTTTCCTATTTCATCATGAAAACTCATTACTTCTAACAAAATGCTGCTGAGGGAAGCAATGCTTGGTAATTCTTATGCTTCAGTATCAACAGTACTAGTTTCCTAATCCAGCTGCATGTTAATTATAATAAACATTTAATTCTGGAGAAGAAAGGTAATAAGCACAGAGTGAAGAAACGCCTCTTAGGCATAGCAACAAAGACAGATGAAGCAACTGATTTCCTCCCCAAGAGCTAGAGCACTAAGCTCTAACTCAGATGAGCAGGAACCAGCAAGGAAAGGGGAAAGTAGACACCTGAAACATAGTAAGTGAAGGAAGAACATTTTGGTCAGTACGGAAAAGAATAACCAAGAACAGAACAAAATTAAATCTGAATGCTCAATCAAAATGCTTATCTTTCCTTTCCCAACTAGCTGTTTCCTACATCTCACCAGCAGAGAGATATTACCCTGGTAAAACAATCACACTTCATTATTGTTAAATACCAATGCTATGTATACTTTCCCCCCTTGCCCCCCATCACCAATAAAAAGTAATGACTAATCAAGAACTAAGAGATGCTCTACTCTATCGCTAACATATCTCACCAACTTTAAACACTACACTGTCAAAAACTTCAAGTTTTTATGCAGTCAGTAACTCAAGTGACCCTAATGTCTAATCCATTTTGATTTGGCTTATCAGAAGCGAGCACAATATTAATACTTCACTTTAATCTGGATTAGTGACCTATACTGTACTCTACTCAATTCCTGCAAATAATTTCAGAGAACAGTTAGTTTTGTGGTATGACGCATTTGTTTTTAGCTCATGGGTCTTATACAAAGTTCCATTACCCTTTATGCATTCACTGATTTTCTTATCAAAGGTTTGTTAATCATGTTCACCCTAAGAACCAAAGTAAAATGTTTGCTAGGTTAACTCCTGCATAATGATCCTGATAGGATCACTCCTTACACCTTTTCTGTTCCTCAGATCTCTCACCTGTTCTCCCAAATCCATTTTTCAAGAAGTCAGCTGCATTTTTTTAAACTTTTCAGTATATCTATTCCAATCTGTTACATCTGTGTATGCTCATTTTTAAAATCTC